GCTGCCATATTGGTCACTCACATTTGGTACATTGCCCTTCTCTTCACCCAAATCAATATTTATCTCTATCTATCTAACAGCATTCCCTCCTCCCTCCCACCCCTGGTAACCAACAAAGAAAATGTCCTCCAATATATAAACATTTCATAAGGAGGTATTTTTGACTTCCTAACTGATTTTGAATCATTTTACCTCTTTTATAAGTTTATTGAACTGGTTTTGTTTTGGGTCCTTCATATACAAATATTTCCCAAGCAGTGCTGTATTTTCCAGGGGAGACACTACTGGTCTTTTAGATGGGAAAACTCTTTATCATGTTGGTCAGTCCTGAGCATTGGAAGATGTTTCATATCTTGACCCCCTTACCCACAAAATGCCAATTATCCTCAACAATTCAAATATGCACCTCTCCCCATTACCAAATATCCCAGGAACATCTTCTCTTCTTTTGACAACATCTGGAGCCCAATAGGCTAGAGATTCTGATTCTAATCTTTGCTAAAAATGATTATCTGGAGAAAGATGAACTGTACCTCTCAGGAAGGGAGATGGTAAGCCATTAAGAGAGAGTGACCAAATCCATGATAATGTTTCCATCTGAAGAGTGGATTATTATTAATAATAGCTATATGGGAGCTCTGGTGGCCTAGTGCCTCAGGCTTTGACTGCTAACCAGAAGGCTGGTGGTTCAAACCTACCAGCCACTCCACAGAAGGAAGATTGAGCAATCTACTTCTGTAGAGATACCGCCTTGGAAACCCAAGGAAGGGTCGCTATGAGTTGAATTCACTTAACGACAGTGAGTTTTGAATTTTTTTTTTTAAATATTTATTATAGACCAGGAACTGTGCCAGGCTTTACTGTATGAGTTGCTTCTATTATTATAACCATTTTATTTATTTTTAAATTATTTTATTTATGTTATTTTATAGTGCCCTGGTGGTACAGTGCTTAAGAGCTCAGCTGCTAATCAAAAGGTTGGCAGTTGGAACCCAACAGCTGTTCTATGGGAGAAAGATGTGATCTGCTTCTGTAAAGATTTAGAGCCTTGGAAACCTTGTGAGTCAGTTCTACTCTGTCCTACGGGATTGCTAAGAGAAATGACATGGGTTGTTTTTTTTTTTGTATTATTATAATACCCATTTTCAGATGAAGAAAATAAAGCTTAAAAGGATTAACAATTTGTCCAAAGTCCCAATTCATGAGACAAAACTGATACTTAAACTCATGCTGATTAATTCTGAAATGTAGTTTCTTATCCACTCTGCTGTAGAGCAAGAATCTGCCCTGTGTTCTCTATATCCAAAAGATATACTTCTGACTCTTGCCCTTAAAGTGTTCATAATCTCGTTTAGGGGACAGACAGAGCATACACTTAAAGTTGTTAGACAGAAAAGTGAGTAGTATTTGAAGGAGTATACAAATGGTTTGTAAGGACTCCAAAGGCTATGAGTGTGGAGAAAAGGGATTTGTGCTTTTCTTGATTATGATGCTAAAGAAAGTATTTAATAAAATCCACTACCTGTAGTAGCTGAAACCCTCAATAAGATGGATTGATACAATAGCACAACATTGGAATTGAACATACGAATAATCATGAAGATGGCACAGGACTGGGCAGTACTTTGTACTGTTACACTCAAGGTTACTATGAGTCAGAGCTGACTTGATGGCAACTTATGACAACAACAACAGTGACTAAGAACATGGACTCTGGCATTTTATTGTCTGGAATTGAATTCTAGCTTAACTACTTATTAGCTGATTTGGATGAAGGGCTGCTGGCAATAATTTCTACTTTATAGGGCTGTTAAGGGACTCTGGTGGCATAGCGGATAAGCCATTTGATTGGTAACTAGAAAGGTTAATGGTCCAAACCCACCAGCTCCTCCATGGAAGAAAGATGAGGCAATCTACTTCTATAAAGATTTACGGACTTGGAAACTCAATGGGGTCACGATGAAGTGGAATTGACTTGATGGCAGGAATTTTGGTTTTTTGGCTTAAGAGCTGTTGCATGTAAAACTCTTACAACAGGATCTGGACTGTAGTAAGCACTATATAGCTGTTTTCTGTTTTTATTATGGGATTTCAGTCTCCTGAATGCTGGCTATAACAAGCCTTAAAACTACTTGTCCAAATGTATCTGGGACTATTTAGTTAGTGACTGTCCTCTCTTACACCTGCATCACATGTTAGACAGCCTATAAAAAGCCAAAAAGAACTCACTGCCATTGAGTTGATTCTGACTCATAGCAACCCTTTAGGACAGAGTAGAACTGCCCCATAGGGTTTCCACGACTGAAAATCTTTACAGAGGCAGATTGCCTCATCTTTCTCTTGTGGAGTAGTTGGTGGGTTTGAACTACTGGCCTTTTGGTTAGCAGTCAAATGCCCTACCCACTGTGCACCAGATGTCCCTCAGCCTATAAAAGCAGACACAAATTCTCTTCTAGGGAGCTATTTGGGATCTTATCCCATTCTGCTGCTAACCCTAACATTACGCTGCAGAAATCTAACCCCATGGCTCATTTCTTTGCGGAAAGCAAAGAGTTTCAGATTGTTGTCAAATTTCATCCTAATGGGATTTTTTACACTTGTTCTCGTGCTCTCCTCCTCTACCTTTCTATCTGCGTTTAGCTATTGCTTTAGCCTGTAAGGATCTTTCCTACTCCTGCTTCCCTTGTTCTCCTGGGGAAATCATTCTTTCATCCTCAACACACACATACACATATATATATGTATATACCTATACATATATACTCATATTTATATATCCTCACAACTGGACCAATGAGCTGCATCATTATAGATGGAAAAAAGACTAAAGTTATCAAAGACTTCATATTACTTAGTTCTACAATCAACACCAATGGAAGCAGCAGTCAAGACATAAAAAAGACATATTGCATCGGGCAAATCTGTTGCAAAAGACCTCTTTCAAGTGCTGAAGAGCAAAGATGCCTCCTTGAAGACTAAGATGTGCCTAACCCAAGCCATGGTATTTTCAATTGCCTTATATGCATGTGAGAGCTGGACAATGAATAAAGAAGACCGAAGAAGAGTTGATGCTTTTGAGTTGTGATGTCCGTGACGAATGCTGAAAATACCGTGGACTGCTAAAAGAACTAACAAATCTGTCCTGGAAGAAGTGCACCTGGAATGCTCCCTGAAAGTGAGATTGGCCAAACTTTGTCTCACCTACTTTGGTCATGTTGTGAGAAGGGCCCATTTTCTGGAGAAGGATGTCATGCTTAGTAAAGTGGAGGGTCAATGAAAGAGAGGATGGGCCTCAACAAGATGGATTGACAAAGTGGGTGCAGCGCTAGGCTCAGGTATAGTAGGGATCATGAGGCTGGCAGTGTTTCACCAGGCATCATTTTGTTCTGTGGTACCTAAGGTCACTGTGAACTGGAGACAACTTGATGGCACATAACAACAACAACATTTAGACATAAAGGTTGAAATGCACCTTTCTTGATTCCACCATCTAGTTGTGCTTTATTTGTTTCTCCTTTTACTTTTAACAGTGAGGAGGTTTATAATGCTCCTCTCATTTCTCCCATATGCTGATGGCTCTTTAAGGGAAAAAGCTCAGGCATACCTATCTTAGAGTCTACTGTGGTACTCATCAAAGCCACCATACTTTTGAGTTGAACTCATGGAAAATCATCATGCTGATATTTATACTGAGATGTATAAATTATAGAGCATATTCTTACACATTAACTCATGTCATTCACTCAATGCTCTGTGGTAGGGAAGATTGCTCTTGTTAGTCTCACTTTCCAGTTGAGGCAACAAAAACCTGGAAAGTTTTCCTGGTGATGCAGCTAGTGAGAGTCCTTCTTATGTACATCTATAGCTGTCTTTGGATCTGAACCTATAAAAGGATGGTTTCTTCTCAAGATACAAAGAAGATATTTACCTTAAAGCCTAAAGTATGATGGACTGATAGAGACAGGCTTAGAACTCAGATCTTATTTATAGTCTGTTTTTCTGACAGTGTATTCTTTCTTGCCCTTTTATCAAGTTGAAGACTTAGGGAAAATATGTGTGACATTTACCCATTAATCCAGTACTCAAACCAGTTGGATGGGCTCTTGAAAGACTTCAATGTTGTGGTAATCTGATTTTATGAGTCTCTTAGGAAGACTGGAAGTGAGAATAACCCTTGAATAAGATTCACTGCTGTCTAGGGCTCTTAGGGGGAGGCCTCATCATGCCCAAATTCACATATATCCCCTGATATCTCCAAGTTCAGATCAAGAGCAGCCTTTAATGTTTTGTGTGTGTGTTGAGGTGCCTATAGGAAAATCAGAGTATATCAATAACTTTGTGTAGGGGAGAATGGCTCTTCCAACAGAGCAGGGGTTGTGAAAAAGGACAGGAGCTACTTACAATATAAGTTCATTTAAATTTTCCTCCCCCCCAAGGAATTCCAACTCTACTGCATTAAAACAAACTCACTGTTCAAGTTCTCCCTTTGATTGGAGGGGCCTAGAAGAACTACTCTATTCTGTGAGCTGAATTCTCTTCCCACATTAAGCCAGTTTCACTTCTATTTCATTCTGACTCTATTCCCTTCCTCCTGAT